CCACCTAACCAGGCCCACCCACCTTCCCTTACTCGTTTACCTTTTTGGGTCAACCTATGGGTCATGAACCCAACCCAGCCCGACCTAAACACCCTTCACCTTCCAAATGGTGCCCACTGCTAGCCATTGCCCTGAACCAAGCAACGTCCTTTACATACCAGCCTCCGACGAACCTGAAATCATCATGGTCAAGGCTGTTTTGACCAGATCTGACAACTACACCACATGGGCCACTGATTTTCGATGACCCCTCATAGCCAAAGACAAAGATGGCTTCGTCGACAAGACTATTCCACCACCCTCATATCCACATCTTCTTCGACAGTGGAATCGATGCAACATGCTTGTCAGGTCTTGGATTGGGAACTACTTGTCACCGGAAGTTGCCTCCGACTTACCACCGACTGAGATTGTGACATAAACATGGGCACATATTTGCGAGATGTATGGCCGGCTGGATCTTGCTCAAACCTTCACTCTTCGACAACACCTTGCCGAAATGAAACAAGGCAATCTCACGGTCACTGCCTACTTCAACAAACTCTTGGTGACTTGGAATGCTTTGGATGTCGCCGAAGCCAAACTTGATGCGCCATCGGAAATCCTCTGGGAATACTAGCAACTTCAAGACCGTGACCGCTTGAGCAGGTTTCGCCCAAGCCTCAATGAATTTTTTTTTGCCATTCTAGATGCAGATCTTGGCCACCACCCCACCGCCATCATTACGATGGACCTTTCAACTTGCTGTTTAAGACGAGAGCCAATGATAGCTCATCATAGACAGCTCTCAACACAACAATGTTGGGGTTTTTGCCGCTGGCAAAGAGGTACCACCATCCCCAAATTTTGTTTTTCGATTTAAACAAACTGTTACACATGCAGCTAGGGTTCCAAAATGATAGAAGGATGAATTTATATCAATCCTCCAATGGCCCATATTCAATTCCTCAATCTGACGGCTCAGCTCTTATCACCTTTTTGCAAAATCAATTTGGCCCAAATGCAATATGGGTCAAGGTTCAAGCCCAAATGACAATAATAGAGCAAATGGGCATGTGCAAGCCAGTTGGCAAAACGGGCCTGGGCAGTCCAAGAACAATCGCTCCAAATATTATTGTGACTATTGCATATACTGGAACCACAATAAAGATCACTATTGGAAATTACATGGTCGACCTCCCAAAGATAAAACTGGCAAGTCTTTTGCTTATCAAGTTTCCACCACTGATTTCGGGAATTCTGTTTCGGCTTTCCAACTCAGCCTTGAACAATATACCCAACTGCTCCAAATGTTGAACACTGCTCTCCAAACATTAATGACAACCTATGCATGTACATCATTCTGTTAAAAAATAATTAAGAGTGATGTTTGGATAATAGACTCAGGAGCTAGTGACCATATCATTTGTAGCCCCAACTATTTCCACCATACCACACACATTTCAACCACTTCCATTCGGATGCCCAATGGGAACATTACACCTGCTACTCAGATACGAACTGTCCACCTTTCCAAATCCTTGGTCCTTAAGAATGTGCTATTGGTCTTTGCATTTCATCTAAACCTAATCTCCATGTCCAAAATTTGTTAAGATAATAATTGCCTTTCACGAATTTATCCTGACAAATGTAAATTTTAGGACTCTTCGACTAGGAAACTGATGGGCTTGGGTAGAGTGCATAGCAACCTTTATTATCGGACACCCGAAGTCTCTTCCTTTAGTTCTAATTGTATTACCAATAAAGTTTCTCGATGTAATACAAATATTAATAAAAATTCCTATATTTCCTAGCAATGCTTGGGTTACAGTGTTTCCATTCCCCAACCTCACTATCCCTTATGTCCACTAGCCAAACAAACTCAAAACATTTTCCCACAAAGCACATTGACCACCACACATCCTTTTGCTCTTATTCATCTTGATATCTGGGGTCCCTATCACACTAGAAATCATGATAGATCTTGGTTTTTCCTCACCATTATAGATGAATTTTCCCGGGGGACATGGGCTTTTCTTATGCAGTCCAAGGATCAAACATTTACTCACCTTAGGAATTTCTTAGCCATGGTCACCACACAGTTTAAAACCTCTATACAATAGGTATGATTTGATAATGCCAAAGAATTTTTTAACCACACCTATAGTTCTCACTTGTCTTCCCTTGGAATTCTTCATGAGAGTTCCTGTACATACACTCCATAGCAAAACGAGGTAGTTAAATGTAAACATAGGCATATGTTAGAAGTTGCTTGGGCCCTTAAACACCAAGCCAACCTACCTTTGTCCTTTTAGGGTCAATGTCTGGTCACATCTACTTACTTAATCAACTGATGCCATCTCGTGTGCTAGGTGGTAAAACACCATATGAATTACTCTTTCGTAAACCTCCGGTTATTAGTCACCTTCGCATATTTGGCTGCCTATGCTATTCAAAAGTTATAGGATCCTATGACAAATTTGGAGCCAGGGTCACACTTTGTATTTTCATGGGCTATCCTATGTTGCAAAAAAAGGTACAGGTTGTATGATCTAGTAGCAAAGAAGTTCTTAGTATCACGAGATGTTGTTTTTCATGAGGACATATTTCCTTATCATGATACAGTTATCAGTCCCAGCTCACCTCTAATGACACATTCTATGGATAATGTTCCTTCCTCAAGCCCAATCTTTGAACTCATTTATGCTTCCCTTGCTCTTGGCATTACAGATTTACCAACAAGTCCTCCGTCCACTACTCTCCCAGCAGAAGATACTTTCATCAACAACATTCCACCACAATTACAATCCCCTGCTAGAGTTTCTGAACCTCCTCGATGTCAATCCACAAGCACCACTCGGCATTAGTCGGTTTAAAAGTTGCAAGACTGGGTACCTTTGCATTTGCTGCCCTTTAAGGCTGAAGGCATCTCCTCATTTTCTTCATGTACTGAATGACTGGTCCCTCCTACACCTGCACATCAATCAATTATGAGCTACGTTAATAAGCATTATTCCTAACCATACAACAAATTGACTCCATAACTATCCAATCGTAATACCTTTCACATTGCTATCTATACAAACTGTGTGACTCTCTTGACATTGTTCACGAACTTTTGTGCTTTCTGTCGTCACAATTGGGCAACGTGGTGGTCCTCCCATCGTTCGTGCAAACCAACCCACAAAACAAAGCACATCAAAGAGGCAAAGAAAACAAAAATTCTTGAAATGACAGATTATAAATGCTAGAATACCTTCACCGTACTTTTCTGGTGACCTAAATGTTAGTTTCCATAAGTAAATCAAAATGCCACATTCAACATACTAAGACAACAAACATTAAATGCACATACATGTACACATCCTTTTATACTTCACTACCAAAGTTATAGAGTTTTTTACATTCCATATTAGTGATTCATATCTTCCCGTAGTAATTGCAATCATAAACCAATACCATCTAATTACTAGACAGACCTGGTTTCACAAAAAAATAACAAAAGACATCATCCTATATGCTGTTAGAATATAGGCAAAATACAACTACGGGAAGACAACCACTGTGTCAGATATCTAATAACCCTGTGCACGAAAAATAAAACCTATTACAAGACTTCACTAGAAATCAAATGTTGCTCGATACTCATTACTTGCTCCAAGCTACATCTTCACAAATTCTCTCTGCACGTGCATTGGTAATCCAAACAAGATATCTATCTTGCGAGGTTCCTTGCAAATCTTCGTGGTCACTGTCAGCATCTTAGTGACTGTGAATCCATCCAATTGAGAAATGATGGAATACACCTGCCCTTTACTGTCTTTCTCTTGAGTCTCCTTCTTGAAGTAGTCAGCAATACCCTTAAGCTCTGCTCGGGTCCCAACCAATGCAGTTTCAAACCTGCCCAATGTGGCGTGCCAATCTATTGCTTTTCCAAAATCTTTTTTCCTCCTCTTACTGCTGACCGCATCTCTGCTTTGACTGGCAGCAGCCGCCTGCTAAGTAGAATCAACTACATCACCCCTCGACATCGACCTCTACGATGTCCATCTGTTCATCATTGTTCTCAGCATTGTCATTATCTAAATCCTCAACAACATCAACTACTATCTCTGCACCATCTCCATTGGCCTTGTCTTTGCCGTAGATTACGACAAAGGAATTATAGTGCACTCACGGTTTGTGTCGCAGTGCTCTTGCAAAAGGATAACTCTACAAAAATGTTAATCATCATAAGATATGTGTCATCTATATCAGTACATATAAACGTGCAGTTTAGAATTTAAAATTTACACAAATAAACCAACAGAAGCATACTTACCTGGACCCAGTCATCAAAGACATCCTTGGTACATGTAATGCATTTCTCCTCATCATTCCACCCGAAGCCGCTACCTTTCTCAAGCATCTTGTTGATTGCATTATATTGCCTCCTCAACATCTTCACCCTCAAGTCGATATGTGGTTGTGCTTTCAAACCGCAATGAGGAAGCTTTTCCCACATCATCTTTTCGACCTCAGCTAGGTAACTGCACTTGAACCCCTGCTCAGTTCTCCAAAGTGGCTGCCCTTTCAACTACAGCAAACACTCCACCAACACAGCGTCCTCCTTTTTTGTCCACTGTCACTTACTTCCTTTAGCCTTTGTCTTACCCTTTCTACCCCCTTTCATAGGCATAGGGTCATCATGCATGCTAATGCTCCTGTTAGACTCATGGGACCGTGATGCTGACCTGTCCATATTACTGAAACAAAACAAAAAAAGGCATATTAGTGATATTGTACAAAAAAATCAGGTTACAACTTCATTTATACACAGTGTCCGACCTACTGATATGCGCGAGTTGAATAATTTTAAGTCAATCAGGAAAAATAATACATGAACGGGATCACTTAACATTTAATGTACAAGTCCGCTAACAAAGGCAGATTAGTGTTTGGGTTCATTCATACATGGCAAATAAGAAAAGACAGAAATTTAAAAAGTCACAACAGTACACATAAACTAAACACAAGCACAATCATTCATTCTGTGCAGCCATCCAAGTATTGAACATTTCAGCCGCCAAATTGTCTCTAAATGCAGTCCACGCGGCACTAGGCTCAACGTGCCTGATCAATTCCCCTTCATCATCCTTTAGCCCTTCATCATTCACCTCTTCCTGAAGCTCCGCTTCAACAGGGTCAATAGGCAACTCAAACTTTATGAAATTGTGCAAAAGACAACATGTAGTAATGATTCTACATTGAGTTTTGATGAGGTAGTAAGATGCGTCTTTCAATATTCCCCATCGAGCTTTCAGGATGCCTAAACATTGATCAATACAATTTCTTGCTTGAGAGTGTTTCATGTTAAAAAATTCTTGTGGTGATGCCGGTTGGTGACCTTGTTGCCATTCACTCAAATGATATCGTTGTCCTCGATAAGGGGCCAAAAACCCTTCCCCGTTAGTGTATCCAACATCGCACAAATAGTAATGCCCTAAAATAAGCAACTTCAAGTCAATAACAATTACTAAATGAACTATTATGGCAGACCCTAACACTAAAAATACATTTTTTTTTGTTATATTACCTTGGGAGACCTTTAATCCATTTCTCCTAGTAATGGCATCCCTAAGAAGTCTACCATCTACAGCGGAACCTTCCCACCCAGCGAGGACATATATAAACTGCATGTCAGGTGTGCAAACACCAAGGACATTAGTTGTGATTTCACTTTTCCTTGACCGACACCTAGGTATATCGTCAGTCGGCACGTGAACCTTTATGTATGTTCCATCTAAGGCTCCCAAATAGTTCTAACAAAGAACAAAAACAACAACAACAATATTTTAAAGAAAACACTAACTCTGATTTTAATAAGGTACTGAACTACATGTGCATCATAAACCTAGTGATTAGCCTGTACCTTGAACCATTCCACCGCTCATCGGTTGAGTTCTTGGGAATGGCCTCTGGTTTTTTAAACAACAGAGTATGCAACCTTAATACGGCGTTCAGGACTAAGTGAAAATTGCGGCTTAGCGTCTCAGTGGATCTACGCATTTGACATTTCATTACTCTGGTCTTTTGGTTATGGGCAAGGATGTGAAGAAAGGTCCCAAATAATTCTTTTACGAATGAATGACAGGTTGATTTTAAGTTGCCATGTATAGTAAGTAAATTACATAATTTGTGAAATACAGCCCTATTCATCCTACAGCTCTCAAAACATAACTCATCACTTTGGAAAAGCATGGTGTGTAAATTGATCGACCTAACCTTAAATCTAGACGCAGACTCACTGGCATATGATGTAGCAGCCCTACGTCTACCCCGTGTATTAAGTGCATTAGCCAACCCAAGAAGGACGAGCATGGTGTACATAGTTTCCAACATATCCAAATGGAAGACTAGAAGGGCAACCAAGTGTATCTTTTGCCTGACTGTTAAACGGGCCATAGCTGTTTCACATAATTCATGGGTCAAAGCATAATGAAGTCAATCAAGTATGTACAAGTCCTTAAACCCAACACAGGCAATTGTATATGGAAGAAATCAAACTGAATATGAAACCCTAAACAACATAAACACCATAATTTTATAATATCACAGTGAAACAAAATTCACCTCAAACACTCATACAATTCTCAACGTCCCACACATCAAAATTTCTCATCCACCACACAAACCAACATAAACATCACAAAAATTTCACATCAATCCCTGAAAACTATCTTCTTTTAGCAATTCAATTGGTAACATAATTTGTATGGTTAATTTTAACTGTACATATTTAATTTAACTGACCTATAATTCGACGTTGAAAAATCCTAAATTTGTTACCGCTTTGCCCGATTTTAGCAATTGCAGTTTTAATATTCTTAAGCAAATCTACAGTTTATGTATTACTTGTCATTATGATATCAAAGGATTATAACTAAATGACATGTCTAGACCTATCAAATAAAAAGAAGACCAAGATCAATTTTATATTTACCTGACTGCCTAAATCAATCACAAGTATAATCTTAGCTATCTTTTCAAAATTGCCCCCGCCAAGAATCTTTACCAAAAATATAGGTAACTATGTGCCTTCCTAAATGAAAACATATTTGGAGTCATATGCCAAAATGAGCAAGTAATGCCAACCCAAAAGGGTAGAGGAGCTTAATTCATAATTATTCTTAATAAAGGAATAATATGTACAAACTGCCATATACTCAGATTCCCTCAAAATGTAAAACAAAAAGTGACACAACAATCCCATCTGTTTTCATAAGACAACAACAAGAAAGCAGCACTATACTTTTCATCATCAATTTTTCTGCTTTTACTCTAAATTTCCTTGACTGTATAAACGTTGAGCATTTTTACACCTACATAATAGGCACACAATAGCCAACTTGTTTTTAAAATATTCGAACTTGGAGAATAAACGTTAATGTGCAGCTGCATAAATCAATTCATAATTGGAGAATAAAATCGAACCAAGTATAGATTCAATAGAATGCAAGTTCTTATGTGCATGATTGAAGACTATTTCAGAAATTACACAGGCCATGTCAATATTTGTGAAGGTGATAAGTAGGAATAGAACAAGATGATTTGCTCTAGGAGTTACAAGACTAAATTCCTCAGTCATGTCCAACTGAATGACTTTAAGAGCAAGAGAGGAAGAAACAAATTCAAGCTGAAACTTTCTAGAAAATTTTATTAACTGAATTAGTTACAAGAGGCAGCTAATTTATATAGAGCCGTTGGACTGAAACGCAGAGTTTAATCTCTAAGTTTTTAGACTTTACAAAAGACATCCTATACCAAACATATAAACTCTAAAGAATTGCAAAACACACCCNGGTGATCTCAAGTCTAAGGATCACATGCACCACCATTCGTTAGAGGATTTGTTCCATAGACACTGGGGTTACCATCCATATGGAATCCTCTGGTGGGTCAGTCCAGTGAACTTGCTGTGGTGTAATCGCCTACAACAAACACCCATGTGTTGCACCAGGTTGTCACCAAACAACCTTGACAAGTGAGATCAGTCACTGCCTTTCGACAGGGTCGTTCAACACTATGATAGCCTTACCGTATTATCTGTGCCCTTAGTTCAGAATAATACTGGGGCTACAGACGTTTCTAGAATGACCACCATATGTGCTCATAGGGTTCTCACTATCAAGATTTGAAACACTTGATACCCTCGTCACGGCTCTACCATTCTAAGGACATATATCAATACATATTGCAATAATAATGATTTACGCGATATAGAATAAAATGCCTTTTATTGATTAATGAACATTATTACAAAGAGTCAATTCTACAATAATTGATCGGCTCTAGGGCATCTACTCTAACAAATAAAGCCTTTATCTTTCCTTTGGGCTGCCCCTTCATAGTGTGTCCGAGCCTTCTCATTTACAAACCGGTTGTCCACTTTCTTTCCGTTTCCTTTACCCTTTGATGATACCTTGAGCGGCACTTTTCCAAAACTATCAATCACTCAACAATTCAACTTAAAAATTCAACCCTAGGCGCCCTATGAACAACCAGAATCAATCCTACAGTAAAACAACACTTTCAAAATTTGCACTTAGACCCCTAAACTACAATTTTTCCAAACTCCACCAAACACTCCAAAATTCAAAACCCACACTCCTCAATATCACACAATGCAAAATCAACACTTCCTCAAACACAATCAACGCACAAAATCACAAAAATTTCACAACTCAACTATAATCAATATTTTCATATCCACAAATCTAAACTCAAAAAATTGCGATTAAAAGCTTAGGGAACTTGAAATCTTACCAAAACAAGGGAGTATTCACCACTAATTTAGTCAAAATCATCCGAGATTACAAAACCCCCAATTTCTTGAAACCACAAATTTCTTCAATTTTTCGCAAAGATCTTGGTTAGATCGAGTTGTTTTGGTGTTTAGAAAGGTTAAGGAGTGAGAAACCTTGCTGGGAAATCACTGGGAAAGCTCTGGATTAAAGGTGGAAAATTTTTCTCTCAAATGGGGTTGCAAAGTTTCGCGACAAATGAAGGGTTGCGCAAAGTATTTATAAAAACTAGGTTTCGCCGCGGTGAATAACAATCTTCGCCATAGCAAAGTCCTTCATTCTAAAACCCTAAAAACCAAACCCAGTTGATGCCGTGGCGAAAAATTACAGTAGCGCATCGCCCCGACGAAGAACGATCTTCTCCACGACGAATTTTCTTTAGTGAATTTTTGCCCACTTTGCTTCGCCGCAGCAAAACAAAATTCTTCGCCGCGGCGGAAAAATACAAAGACGCATCGCCTTGGTGAAATAGATACTTCGCCGTGGCAAAGTCTAGGACTTGTTGAATTCCAAATTTTTCACAAATGTTCTTCGCCACGATGAAAACTGGACAATTCCATTTTCTGCTTTGATTCGATAATTCACCTGAAACACCCAAAAACACACAAATTAGACTTCATCTAGAATCATAAGAAAACTAAACAAATAAAAATAAACAACAACAAATGAAAACACTTGGCTTGCCTCCCAACGAGCGCTTGTTTATAGTCGGAAAGCTCGACTCTTTCAAGTTCTCATGTCGGAATGTCAAGCCAGAGGGGAATTGACTTGCAACTCATCACTCCGTCGATGTATGGTTTCAACCTCTAGCCATTGACCTTAAATGTGTCTTTTTCTTCATGTGACACCTCCACCGCTCCGAATGGGTAAACTCTTGTAACTATGAAGAGTCCGGACCATCTAGACCTTAGTTTTCCTAGGAAAAGCCTAAGTCTAGAATTAAACAACAACACTTTCTGACCCACTTCAAATTTCATCTTCCGGATATGCTTGTCATGCCACTTCTTGGTCTTTTCCTTGTACATTCTAGCATTCTCATAAGCTTCTTGACAGAACTCATCGAGTTCATTCAAAGTCAACATCCTTTCTTCCTCAGCAGCTCGTAAATCCATGTTGAGCTGCTTGACTACCCAATAGGCTTTATGCTCGAGTTCTACCGGCAAATGACATGCCTTTCCATAGACCATCCTGAACGGAGACATACTAATCGGAGTCTTAAATGCAGTTCGGTAGACCCATAATGCATCATCCAATTTCCGTGACCAATCTTTCCAAGATGCATTAACTGTCTTTTCTAAAATTCCCTTCAATTCTCTGTTCGACAGTTCCACTAGCCCGCTAGTCTGTGGATTGTAAGGTGTTGCAACTCTATGTTTCACCCCATGTTTTCCTAACAGGGCATCACATTGCCTATTGCAAAAGTGCGATCCTCCATCACTAATTATTACCCGTGGTACTCCAAATCTTGAGAAAATATTCTTTCTCACAAAATTAATCACTACCCTGGCATTATTAGACAGCAATGCAACTGCTTCCACCCACTTTGATACATAATCCACTGCTACCAAAATGTATGCGTTCCCAAAAGAATTTGGGAAGGGACCCATGAAGTCAACTCCCCACACATCAAACAGCTCAACTACAAGGATGTTGTTCAACGGCATTGTTAGTAAATGGTCCCATATATGCAACGGAAACAACGAAAAATATAATATAAGGATCGTTTACATAAGCCAAGATCAAGGGTATAATTTTACAATTTATATTAAAGTAAAATCTGCACAAAAGGTTACTCATGAGTTTAGAACCATACGCACGTTGGAGGCTCCACCAATATTGTCTCTGAATGTGTTTGCTACCGATCCAAGTGTAGGATCGAACCCACGAAGTCTACACGAAGATAATCACAAGAAACCAAGGAGGGATTTGCTAGATCCTCCTTGGCCTTCAGAAATCAAGAAGAAGAAAAGAGAAATATTTGATTTTTCAAACAGTGAAAGTGGTGTGGGAGAGTGTGTATAGGCTACTGTGTGTGTGTGTTTTTTTTTTCAATTAAAAAATTCTCACTCAATTACACACACACTTTTTCTTTTATAGGCAAACTAAGTTGCCCTATTCCCATATGGAATAGACTTGGGCTCCAACCAAACACCTCATGTTACCAAACACTCCCATTTAGATATTTTATTTATTTCATCATTATCTCAATTAAAATCAAATAATATTTAATTAACTTTTAACAATAATGATGATTTAAGTAAATATGTGCGAACACATATTTAAACGTAATTTCACTTATTTAATTTTTCTAACAAATTAAATAAAGGCTACGACCCTAGCAAATTTAATTGCACTATGAAATTACCAAAATACCTTTTCACCTAAAAAGACAAAAATGCCCTTCTTTCTTCTTGGCTCTTAAATTATCTTCTATGTGTGTGACCCATAGGCTCTTCATCATACCGACAGTGTATAGTATCACGATTAACACCAATTAATCGTCTCACTAATACACAAACCAAGATTGGCCCCTAGCAAGGCATCATGGCCACCCGATAGATTCGGATTCAGCAAAATAGCTACCTGTCAACGATATGATTA